CCCCCCCCCCGGGGGGGGGGGGGGGGGGGGGGGCAGCTAGGAAAGATCTCGAAGGGCCCTCACCCTCAATCGCGACCAGAGCCAGCATTCGTAGCTATGTCCTGAGTCAGGACAAGTTTTGGGGATGGAAAATGAATAAATGGTAGGAAAAACAAGATGAGAAACTACAGTTGACCCTAGGTTTGGAGTTCTGGCTTAACAGACTCCTTCCTAAGGAATCAGGAGCAGCTATCTGCCAGGATAGGAAACAGATGGTTGCCCGGGACTCTGGGCAGCACTGACCGCCATCCCTTAAGCTCAGGAAGCTGCTGTTCCCAACGGATGTGAACAGTGCCCGAGTACAAGGGGAGGTTAGCAGCAGCCTGCTCACCGCCTCACTGACCAGCACCATCCAGTGCCGCCCGATGTGGGGAGGAGGGCCTTGGGAACAGCCTCCCCTACACTGGTCAACCTGGGACAAGCCGGGTGAGGGTTGGGGGCCAGGGGCAAGATCTCACCAGCAGAGAAGGCGTGGATGTTAAGGGCCATGTCCTGCTCCTCGCTGTCCACCACATCCAGCAGGTAGGCCCGGATGGGGCCCTCGGTTGCGTCGGCACTGAAATCCAGGACGACCACCCCCAGCACTGTGAGGACAATGCCAATGGGCTGCCGGTTGGGGACATCGCCAAGGGACAGACCTGACCAAACATACAGGGGCAGTCAGATCTCAGCTCCTAAGAGCAGACGGCCACCTACAAGGGGAGATGGGGACGCTCTCGCCAACGCCAGAAAGGGGTGTGCTCCTGGGCACAGACGTTCAGTACAGAAGACAGGCCTTGTTTTTTCCATTTCTGTTATTTGCAGGGTTACTTCTGCTCCCCGGTCACATTAACTGTTCGGTGAACCTCAAAGCTTACTTACCTTCACATTTTGCAACTAAAAAGGGAAAAGGATCCTTGCTCCCCAACCTTCACTGGGGAAGGAGGACCGTGTTCGGAGAAAAGGCGATGTGTGACACAGTCACACGCACCACACGGGGCCAGGGCCTGTGGGGCTGCTCCTTCGGCGCTTACTGAACACGTGATGGGTCTCCCTGGTCCTCCACTGTAGTTTCACACCTTCCAGCGGAAGACTGAGTTTGTCTCACTGATGCTCCGTGGTGAGCATGTGTTTATTTTCCAAGAAGAATGAACCTTCCAAGGCCAACACTGATGACGTGTCGTACTCGGACCGTACCCAAGGCACCAAGCCAGAAACACGGGCCAGCTGTGCGGAGGGCCACAGTCAGACCTCTGGTGACAGACCACCCCAGCCCACGGACGTGCACCTGCCCCGGGGTCGTCAAGCACATTCGGGGAGCAGCCCGTGTTCCAGAAAGGTGCGGCTCTGAGGAGCGACGGGAATGGCCCCGCTTCCAGGACAATTCCTCCCTCAGCAGGTTGTAGGCACTCAGAGGAAGTGGCAATCACATGCCACATCTCACCTGCCGTGAACCCAGAGACCTGGTACCCCGATGGCCGAGCTACAGCTGGGTCCATGAGGCCAGCTGGCATCCTGTACCCATGGATGCGGAGGGGCTGTGGGTAGAGAACCTGGGCCCTGGGGCAAGTTAGCTGCAGCATGGGAGGTGCAGGGGAGAAGCCCAGGAGAAGCGTGAGCACAGCTAGACAGGGTGCCAGGCGGGGGCCAGAGCCCCCACGTCACTGCCATGCCGGCCCCACAGACACCGCTTTGCAGAACGCCACACTTTCTCTCTGGGTCAAAGTGCTGGCAAGGGACACCTGCTCCGTAGGCTGAAGGGGACAGGCTGAGAGCACCAGCAGCCCCATGCCCACGGTTCCCAGAAAGCAGCCCCCTCGCTCCCTCTGGACTTCTGGCCAGCCGGCTGTAGTGGCCTTCCTGGGACCCAGCCCAGCCCCACACAGGCCCCTGAGAAACCGAGGGTTTCTGGGGCCTCTCCGTGAGTGATCCAACGTCACCGCTTCCACCTCACTTGACGCAGACTTGGCGCCCACTGGCATACGTGAGAACACAGATGAAGCCTCGGTCTTAAAAAGTCACTGCCAGAAAACAAGGTCTTGTTTTGAATGGTTTTGATGGGCTCCCTCAGGGTAAAAACTATTTTCCCACATAGACTGGCTTTAATTACAAAACAAAACAACAACAAAGGCAAAACAAACCGTGAGTACACGAGACAAAAAAACAAGTATGGGCTTGGGTCTGGCCACTTTCAATACCAAGTCTGAGAAAAGGAGAAAAAAGAAGGGGGAATTTCTGAAACAACGCTGGAAACAGGACGCGCTGTCAGATACGCAGGGGACACCAGCGGGTCACAACAGGAAGTGCTTCCCTGTGAACGGGTCCCCACGGCGTTCCCACGTGGGGCCCGGCCCCAGCCCTGCCAGGACAGCCCGGAAGCCCTGCGCCAGCCCGCGGCCGGCCAGGCTGACCTACGGCGCCGAGAGCACGGCCCGTCTCCCGGGCCGCAGCGGAGGGACACTCACCGATGGCAGAGCCGTTTAGGAAGAGTGCCACGCCGAAGAGCACGCCGACGCACAGGGCGAGGATGAAGGGCCGCCGGCGGCCCCAGCTCAGGGTGCAGCGGTCACTGGCGGAGCCGATGATGGGCGTGAAGATGAGGCCGAGGATGGGGCTCAGGAACCAAGTGAGGCTGTAGTACTGCTCCGGAAGGCCTGCGGCAGACACGGGGCGGCTGTCACGGGGCGAGCACGCACAGACACACGTGCACACCTGCACCCGGGGCCAGCGGAGGCACCGTGGGGTCCAAGAGCCTACCTCTGAACTGAGAGATCTGAAACCCACCAACGCCCGACCGAGAAGCATCAGGGGGCCGGAGGCCAGCACCTGGGCCTCGGAGCAGGCGTCCCCGACAGCGGCACTTGCTAGACGCAGCAGAGCCTGGAGCGGCCGCGCACACACAGAGACCAGGCGTCCGCGGGGCCGCACGCCTCCGGCTGCTCGACGCCGCCTCACCGGCACCAGGGGCCCAGGCTCCGCACCCGCATCAGCCCAGAACTGGGGCAGGAGTGAGGACCGCCCCCGCCGCTATTCGGGGCCGTTCTGGGCCTCACTGCCCGAAATCCATCACAGGAGTCCTGCTGGGGGGCCGCACAGCCACTGACAGGCTCCACGACCCCCGCGGTGGGCTTCCGAGAGGCCAAGGGGCCAGCGAGAGGGGAGGCCTGGGCTGGCGTTCCGCTGGAGCCAAGGCGTTCTACCTGGCACCAGATATCCACTCTGCTCTGACCCTCCTAACTGCCCCAGGAGGTAGGGATTATTGTGCCCACTGTCCCGGTGAAGCTCAGAGAGGTTAGGTAACCTGCGCTGGGTCACACAGGGAGGAGGTAGGACCACCCTATCGCACAAACCCCGTGCCCGCCGCCAGGGGAACGGGACACTGCACACACCAGAGCGCCACACTCAGCTGGGGGACCAGGCTGCAGCAACGCACAAGCCGGACACCACACGTGCCAGGCGCGGAGCGGCTCACAGCGTGCGGACCGCTTAGGTGAAGTCCAAGTGGCTAATGGGGGTTCTACTGCCGAAGCCGGGGAGGCGGTGGCCCTTAGGAGGGGTGGGGGCTTCGGGGCCGGTGTGTTCTCTTCTTGACCTGGCTGGGGGTCACTGGGGACGCGTCCCCCTGCCACAGGCCGCCACAGTGCACCTGTGTCCTATCTCAATGAAACGTTTACTCCGACAAGGACAGCCTCCGGGCCGCCAGCGATCCCCCGGTTAGCGCGCTACAGCACCACGGGCCCTGGGGAACGGGGTGCTGGGTGCGCCACCGGGAGCCGCACTCGTCCGGCAGAGGGAAGCACCCTCCCACTGAACACCCGCGCACGCAGTCCACAGTTCGAGGCGTCTCTTCGGCCTCTGCACCGGGCAGAACCGCGGCCCTGCTGCACGTCAGCAGACGGTACCCATGTCCCAGCACTGCTGGGGGTGTCGGCGACGTGCCCTGGCTCCTGCGGCAGGCCTGGGGCCCCGCCTCTCCTCGGCAAGGGCAGGCAGGGGGGCAGCAGCAACCGCCCAGGCCGGGCCCACGCTGCCCAGGAAGGACCGCGAGCGAAACTACCCCACGTGTGCGACACGGTCACCGTCTCACAGAGAACGGAAAGCGCTCTTACCCCTGGGTACGTGGACTCTTACTTTTGTCGGGGTTTTTAATATGGCACAACTTTACTGATAAACACTGACTGGCTGGCGAGAAGACCCCAACCACCGACCCTCTGTTCACCCATCCTCGGGCTGCAGAGGCCAGCCCGTGAACCCCGCTCCGGTCCAGGGGGGCTGTGGCTGGCCCCCTCCATCCCTGGAACACCCTCACCTGCCAGGCCTGCATCCACCTACCCGGTGATACCAAACCCTCCCAAGACGCCGGGTTCCCGACAAGCCCACGCTCTCTAGTGAGATGCCGAGGCTCACCCAACTGCTGCGCACCCCCCCGACCCCGCACCCTCCTTGGCCACAAGCACTCCCTCCTGGCATCACGTCTTCGTGGCTCCTGGCTCAGGCAACGCGCACACTGCTGGTCCAGGTGCCGGGGGATCAGCACCCACGACCTGCCCGGGACCCGCTGGGCCTGCCCTGGGGGCATGGCAGCGAAATCTGGAGTTCTGCTCATCTCTGCCTTATGTATCCCCGAGCCCCGTTTGTCAGGAGCACACACATTCCCAGCGGTTGTGCCTCATCACTGACCTTTTCATCCCGTGAGCTGCCCCCTCTCTCGCCGGCAATGCCCGTCTCTACTTGACGTCCACTTTGTCTGAGGTGGATATGCGCGTCCCCGCGAACTCGGGCTTCCTACTCGCACGGCAGATCTCGATCCGTCCATTCTCAAGCCACTGTGTCATATTCTAAGAGTGGGTGTCGCTCTCAGCACATCAACGGCTCTTCTTCAGCCATTCTGCCGACCCCGCTCTCTGGCCTGTTTTGTCCACTTGCGCGTAGTGGAATTCCTTACGTGGCTGAGATAATTCCTTACGTGCCACATTACTACTCGCTGTCTCTGCCCCTCCTTGTTTCTCTGCACCCCTGTTCCTGCCTGCTTTTGGCCAAGTTAACGGAATACTGCCTTGCATTCCATTTTAATTTATGTATTGGCTTTTTAGCATCATTTTTGTAAGTGGCTGCTCTAGAGATTTCATTACACACCATCTTTTCAGTCTAGTGGAAGAGAAGCTCAGCACGTAAGAAAGGTAAGAAAGAACCTTGCAATCGTCTGTGTCTTTGCGCCCGAGCCTCTTCACAGTACACGATACGTGCATCCCATCTACAGACAGTGTAAACCCCGCTCCGCACTGTACACAGTCGTATTTAAGGGAATTAAAAGGAAAACGCTTTATTTTTACCTCCCATTTCACCACTTCTTTCTTCCTTCCTGAAGACCGAGTGTTCACATGGTATCACGTCCCTTCCGCCTAAAGGACTGTCTTTAGTTTCCTCAGCATTTCTTACAGCAAGCTGCTGATGTATTTGCTCTTATAAATGCTCTTGTATTTTACCTAAAATGCTCTTGTATTTTACCTAAAATCTCTTTCACTTCTATTCTACAGGATATTTTTGCTGAATAAAGAATTCTGGGTTAACTCCTCCCGCACCGCCCTCCAGAGCTGTGAGGCTGTCATTCCCCTGTTTCTGCATAGAAGGCGGCGACATTTCATGTGACTGGGGATGTGAAATGTCTTCCTTTCCTCCGGGTGCTTTCAAGATTTTCTCTTTCTCTTGATTTTTAGCAGTCTGACTATGATGAACCGAAGCAAAGTTTTCTTTTTCTTTCTCCTCCTTGGACCCCACTGAGCTCCATGAATCCGTACATACACGTCCTTCAGAACACGTGGGAGATTTTCAGTTAGTACTGCACAAATTTTTTATGCCCCCTGCTCTAGCTCCCCTCCTCTGGGACCCCAATCACAGGTGCGTCAGACCTGCTGACACGGCGTCCCGAGGCCCCGCCCCTTTCTGGTCTCCATCTTTGTCCTCTCTGTTCTTGAATCATTTCTGCCAACCAAGCCTTCAGTCTTTCTTCCGTCATCCCCCATCTCCCCTAATTTTCTCAGGTATTAGTTTTCAGTTCCAGAATTTCCATTTGGTTCTTCTTCAACAGTTTCTCTCTGTTGAGATCTCCTACTTCCCACTATGAGCATGTTTTCCTTTACGTCCCGAGCACACTTACACCCACCTGAGGATTCCAACCAGTCATCACCTTGGGGTGAGTCTCCACTGCTGCCTTTTCTCTGGACTAAGGGTCACATTTTCATCTTCCCTGTATTTTACAAACTCTAATAATACTAAGCGGTACCCTACACAGTATAAATGATATGCTGCAGAGACGCTACATTCTGCTACATTCCTTTGAAGGCTGTGGATAAGTAACTTGGCTAGACTCAAACTCAAAACTCTCCCCTACAACAGGAGCCAGCAGAAATCTGTCCTATTCTCTTAGCTGAGCTGCTTAAACTCTGGCCCATAAATCCACCATTTCAAAAACCAGCCAACTGGTGGCTCAGTCAGTTGAGTATCCACCTCTTGGTTTTGGCTCAGGTCATGATCGCAGGGTCGTGGGATGGAGCCCCACGTCAGTCTCTGCACTCAGTGAGGAATCTGCTTAAGATTCTTTCCCCCTCTCCCTCCCCCTGCCTTCGCTCACGCTCTCACTCTAAAATGGATAAATAGGGCGCCTGGGTGGCTCAGTCGGTTGGATGTCTGCCTCTGACTCGGGTCATGATCTCAGGGTCCTGAGATTGAGCCCCGTACATCAGGCTCCCTGCTCAGTGAGGAGCCTGCTTCTCCCTCTGCCTGCCACTCCCCCTTCTTGTGCTCTCGCTCGCTTGCTCTCCCTCCCTATCTCAAATAAATAAAATCTTTAAGAAAATTAAAAACTTTAAAAAAAGATACATAAAATCTTAAAAAAAAAAAAAACAGGCAGAAAAATGAGCAGAGATGTTGCAGGATTTGGGGTTCCCCTGGCTCAAACTCTGCCCCGAACTTTGTGCTTGGGTCCTTCCAGTAACAGCACCTATCCAGCATCGTAGCTGCCCATCTTCAGGCTAAAGGCCATAAAATGATGCGAACTTGCCCAGCACTGCTCCCTTCTTCTGCTTTCCAATGTTCTCGAGTGGCTTCAAGGAGCTGTTTTTACATTCGGCCCTCACCTTCTGTGAACGGCAGAAAAGGTCTTCTGGTGGGAGCTGCTGTGCCCTAGCTTCTGCGTGGTTTTCAAAATGAATAATGCTGAGGGATCATTTCACTCGATCCTCGCAGAGCTCCGTGAGGACCAAAGTATCGCCTTCACCGCACCCCGTACTCCCACCACCTCTCCTGGGCTGCTTCACTGCCATCGCAAGCTCCGTGAAGGGACGAGGTGCGCTCTGTGCCCTGCCGTAGCTCCAGCAGGTGCTCGGTAGCCACTGTCCTTCAGCAACAGTCAGCAGTTCCCCAGCCCACGCTCCTGACTTGAGACGGGGCCAGCTGTGCAGGGAGACAGAGGGACCCACGCACCACGTGGTAAGTGATGGGTGCGCGGGGGGGCTGGTAGCTAAGTGGTGGAGGGGACAGCCCCAATGCCCTGAGGTCACCAGGGCATCTCTCGATGTTCCACTGACAAGCTTGTGAGACAACGTCCAGAGCCCAGTCGCATCTCATTTATCCTCGCAGGCAGCCAGAGAGGTTT